TCCCCCACACCCCGTGTCCTGGTCTTTGCTGACCGCCTTGTACACAAGTCCCAGTCACTCCCATTATTTCCTTCCCTAACAGGAATTTTAGTAAGAGCTACTGGAAGAATTAAAATGTCACATTTTGCTAGCCATAGTGACACACATCTGTAATCCTAGCTACTCAGCAGTCTGAGGCAGGAGGATCAAACATTGGAGGCCAGTCTAGGTAATTTAGAAAAATTCTCTCTCAATGTTAAAACATAAAAAGGACTGGGATGTAGCTCAGTGGTGGAGTTCTTGCCTAGAATGGGCAAGGCCTTGGATTCAATCTCCAGTACTGGCAAACAATTGGATCTTACATTTTATGTAAAAATAGGAAATATTCCACATGTAACAGGAGAAAATGAGACCCCATATAAATGTCAAATTAGAATGGATACATTCAGTCATCCTATGGGCAGCCTTTTAAAGTGATAATATAACTATGATAGACTAAGCCAATTTCCTTAGTATGTCTAAAGAGCTCTTAGATCTCAACAGGAAAAGAGCCAATGATACAATAGACAAGAGGGCAAAGGGTAAGAAGAGCTTATGAAAAGAAATTACAGGTTGCCCTTAAATACTTAAAAGTTGTTCCACCTCATTTATAACAAGAGACATGAAAAAGCTTTACCACACCATCCATCTCCTAGATTTGCAAATGTGCGAAAGTTGATGACATCCATGTTGGGAGGGTGTGAGACACAGGTACTCTCACATAGCTGGTAAGAATGAAAATTAGTACACACAGAAAGAAGGCAATTTCTCCTGTTCATCCAAGTTCGATCTGTGTATTTGCTTTGACTTTTCAAATCTACTGTTGCATGTTTTTCTTAAAAATTTACTTGCACGTATGAAAAATGATGTTTGACCATACAGTTCATTATGTTACTATTTGAAATAGCAAAAGACAAGCACATCCAGCAAGAGTTGCATCAGTGACACGGAAGCCATGTGGGGAAATACTATGCAGCTGCTGAAAAGGAGAGAGGTTGGGGGGTGGGGAATGATTCCCCGGCAGAGCACTCGCCCAGCATGCACGAGGCTCTGCTTCCATCCCTAGCACTGAAGAAAAAGAAAGCAGAAAAAATTTTCATTTTGATGTATAAAGTCTAACAAACAATACGCTATCGTTTGTGAAGAGGGAGAAAGGTGTGTGAGTGTAGGTGTGTGTCTGGATCCATGTTCTTGAAGGCTCACTCAGACTGTCTTTGGAAGAAGACACAAAAGCCTGTAACACTGGGACAGCTGGGGAGCTGGGGGACGAGGGGAGAGGAGTCTTACTTTTCATTATGCATCTATTGATATGTTTTTCATTTATTTACTACATGAATGCATTAGCTATTAAAATTTTTTTAAATTCAACTCTTATTTATTTATTTATGCAATATTAAGAGTAGAACTCAGAGCCTTCATACTGAGCTACATCCCTGAGAAATATACAATATATCCTGAGAAACCTACAAACATCCCTGCACTTTTTTTTATTTTTTATTTTGAGACTGGGCCTCACTAAATGGCCAAGTTTCCCAGGCTGGGCTCAAACTTGCCTCAGCCTCTCACAGCACTTGGATAATCAGTGTGCACCACCAATGTAGCTTAAAATTTTTAAATGATGTCATAGAGTTTAACCACCCTTTTACATACTCTTTAGTTTTAAAAACTAATTCCCATTTTTGTATTTATGCATTAGTCCATTAAATGAGTAGACACACGTAGAGGAACCCTGGAAGTAAATCCAGCTGATATCAAAGGGCCTCTGAGGGTGGGCCCAGTGTTTCTGCAAGCCTCTGAGAGTTCTCCTTTATCAAATGTCACCACTATCCCAGCCAGGAGAGCGGCTGAAAACTTAACTGGAGGACTCTCATGTTGGGGAATTTATCAGAAGACGCCAGGGTGGCTCAGAAGGAAGATGTGGCCCATCACCGGCAGGCTTGAAGCAGGCAGGATGGATGAGCTGATTCTCATTTCCTCCGGCCTCTCAGCCCTCTGCCCAGGAACCCCATCATTTCACAGCCTGGTCAAGCAGGGAAAGGGGATGACAACAGAGCGGAGGAGGCTGGGGTCAGAGGGGGCCAGGAGAACTAAGCTCCCCTCATGGTCCCGTGCAGAGTCACAGAGAGCTTGGGAGCACCGAAGGCTTCCTTGAAGAACAGACTTGGGGTCACACTAACCTTACAGCTCCTGAGGACCCAGGAACCCCAGGCAGCATGTGGATGACACAGTCATGCTTATTTTATAGGTGACAAGATGCACTCATAACCAAAGCTGCTGACTTCACGACATCAACTTGGTGTTAGCAGTAGATTCTCCAGGGTCTGCCTCACTCTAAGGGGCCAAAGGCTTCCCTTCTCTACACAGCCTGTATCAACGGCTGTGATGATCCATTTTTCTCTTTCTACTTTCAAATCATGTGGGTGTTTCCACTGCAGACTTGGTTTTAGCTAGCTAGACTTTAGACTACTAACCAGCTCTTAAAAATAGTAGATCTGGTTTTAAAAAAAGACAGTTGCTTATATCCTGAGAAACCTACAAACGTGGTGGGTTATTTATTTACTTTGCAGTGCTGGAGACAGAAGGAACTCGAGGTGCTGTGCATGCTAGACAAGTGTTCTGCGGACCCCCAAATTTTGATAGTGTGTACACTTTATGTGTGTTTATTTAATCCTTAGTCTAATTCTACGTTGCAGGCAGAGGACAGATGTTGGGATGATTTATTAAGGGTGGTGACAGGTACCACAAAGTGAGTAGTATATCGAGACAACAGCCGTGTGTTCTCTTGCAGATCTGAGGTGTGAAAGTGGAGGTGTGGGCAGGCCCAGGCTCCTTCTGAGGACTTTCTCTACTGGCATTTATTGGCTTGTGGACGCATCAGTCCAATCTCAGCCTCTGCTGCATGGATGCTCCTCCCCCACCCTGGCCACTATGTTCATGCTGAATTCCTCTCTTATTAGGGCATGAGTTATACTGGGTTGAGGCCTATCCCAGTCCAATATACCTTCCTTGTAACTGATTATAGCTGCAACAACTGTAATAAGGTCACGTTCTGGGGTACTGGAAGTTGGGAGTTTAACATGTCTTTTTGGGTCACAGCTCAGCCTATAACAGATGGGAGCAGACGCAGCAGGGCGTTTTGCTAGATTCTCCTCAGAGGGTCAGGGTTTTGTGTGTTGGGTGCAGCGAGGTGGCAGGCACTGCTAACATCCAGATACTCTGCTAAGCAGACTGTGAACTTTCCTAACCCTTCTGCCATCTGGGCTCGTCAAGGACCCAAGGCCTCACCCTGGTGCACGCAGTGCTTCATGGTTCACCAAGCACTGGGTATACCTCATCCATTGAATCCATGAAGCAGCTTATCATGACCATTTTACAGGGAAACTGAGGCTCCCAGGGATGACGCCTGACAAATGCCAGGCATTGAGAGCCCAGTTTGTTCACATCCCAAGCAGGGCACCAGCCAACCACCTGTTCCTGGAGGGCAGTTGGGCATGATCTGAGGCCAGTTGAGGTTTTGGATCAATAGTTTGAGGAAAGAATTTAATGGAGAGTCCGGACACACCACCAGGTCATCAGCTCTCCCACCCTTGTGTTCCTGGCTGGGAGATAAAGCCTGGTGCTTTGTGTACGTATTTCTGCGGTGCTGGAGATTCAGCTCAGGGCCTGGCACATGCTAGGCAAGTGTTCTGCTACGGAGCTACACACCCACCTCAAGCAGTGTCTTTTCTAGGTTTATTTATCTATGAAACAGCAGAGAAAGAGGAGGAGGAGATTGAGGAGGAGGGGAAGGAGAAAAAGGAGGAGGAGGAGAGAAAGGAGAGGAGAGCAGGAGGAGAAGAAGGGATAAAGGGGAAGAGGAAAAAGGAAAACAATTCAGAGATCAAAATCCAAGGTACTAGCGGAGCCCCACCTCACCTCTGCCCAGATTTTAGTAGCCACTCACTGTATCGAACTCTAGGTTCTGGCTTTCTAAGTGAGGGAAGGGGAAAAAAAAACTCTGGAAACCAAATGGAAATGCAATACACAAGTAGTAACGTCACACCCATGTATGCCCTATGACTTAATGAGTTAAAATATTCCATAGAAATAGTGGAGACCTAACGTTAAAGAACTGTTTAGAGCTGGACAATGTGTCTGCACATTGTCTGCAATCCCAGCACTTTGGGGAGCCAAGGCAGGAGGATTCAAAGTCTGAGTCCAGCCTTGGCAACTTAGTGAGACTCTGTCTCAGTAAAAGAATAATTCATTAATAATTCATTAAAAGGACTGCAGATATAGTTCAGCGCAAAGGCCCTGGGTTCAATTCCCAGTACTGGAAACAATATTTTAGGGTATGCTTGTGGTATTGTGGTTGCTTTTTTAAAGAATTTTTATATTTTCATGCATTCTGGAATATCTCTGTTGAGATATTCTGCTACCTGCCATTTGGTAAAATAAAGGGAAGCAGGCACCCCAGGCAGGTGACTGCTGAAGCTGGGTGGCGAACGCAGGACCTTCCTTACACCAAAAGCATCAAGTTCGGAAGGCTCAACCTAATGCGATTCTTTGTACTGTTGTGCATGTTTGGAATTGTCCATAATAAGTTTTTTCGGGTACAAAGTTTGAATTGTGCATAACGAAGTGTGACTTCTGTAATTCTCTACCAAACAACGAAAAGTTAGGGAAAAGAAAAACAGCAAGAGGGTGACAGGCGACAGGTGCGGTGTCAGGGAGCCAGCCTCATATTCTGCCCCCACTCCCCCAGCTGGGCGACCCAGACCTGCCAACGTCTGGCTCACAATTCATTTTCCAAACTGCAGGGCAGCAGGCTGCCCTCTGCCAAGCCACCGCCCCTCCCCATGTGTCCACAGGTCACTCATCCAGGTATCCACCAGCCATCCGCCTGGCCACAGACGGGACCTCTGCCGCCCCTTCTTCCCTCCTCTGCGCAGAATTTGAACACCGAGCCGCACCCCTCGCCCATCCTGCACCCAGGCACTCACCTGTTCCGAAGGGCTTCACTTTTCTGCTAGAAACTGAAAGTAGTCTCTAGGGCTGTCCCGCCTGTGCATAGAACCCGTTGCCGCTGCCGAGAAATCACGTGGTTTCGAGCTGCCAGCCCAGATGCGGGCGGGGCCTGTGGCGCGGGCGCCCTCGCCAGAGCCCAGGGGGCACGGCCACGGGCTGGGAGCCGCGGGAGCCGCCTCGTGCAGCGGAGCGGGTGGAGGCCGGAGACCGCTCACCTGCGCAGCACGGGGCAGGGCGGAAGGAAGCTCCCACCGAGACCCCCATCAGTGCCTCTTTAGAGACCAAAGGTCTAGAGGGAAGCGAGGAAGCTCTGATGGACCAGAAGGGACTTGGTGGCCAGGCCCGGAGGGTGGCTCCAGGACAGGAGGTGGGGAGGAGGGAATAGCAACGACTGGTCTCAGCCAACGGGGAGAAACGCTGTCTACACCTACATCTCATCTAATCCTCATGCTAACCGTGACACAGAGGCCTGTGTGACCCTGTTGTGCATGTGCACAGCTGAGGCCGGGAGCAGAGGGGAAGCAGATGAGTAGGGAGAGGGGAGATGGAGGGTGGGGACAGGAGAGGGCAGGAGAGGCGTAGGGGCAGGGCCAGTCCAGCCACCATTCAGAGATTCCCCATAACTTCCCCAGCCTCTGGCCTTGGCCAGGGCCTGACTCCTTCCTCCTGCAGGGGACTGAAAGCCCTTCCTGTGAGGAAGGCTGTCCCCAACTTCTGGATGACATCCACACTGGGGCACAATCACGGCATCAGATATCCCTCATTCATTTTCCCTCTAACTTCCTGGCCAAATGCCTCCATAGTCCCGGGGCCTCGGTTGTTCCATCTGTAAGATGGGGATGATAGTCATGCCTTCCCATAGTCATGAGTGACCTAGGGTTGTGGCTCACGCAGTCTGTGCCTGAAGCCCAGAAACTGCCCTTATATTTTTGTTCCTTTTTGCAAGTCCCACAGCGCTGTGAGGCTTAAACCTCCTTGCTTCAGAGACTCACCTCGCTATGTAGAAATTGCTGGTCAGCCAACAGTGGGAGGGGCATAGATTCTGCAACTGATTGCCTTGTGTGACTTCTAGTTCCCCTGCTCCTAGCTGTGTAGCCACAGGTAAGTGCTTTGGCCTCCCCAGCCTTCACTTCCCCATCTGCCAAGAGGGGTATTTTAGCCGCCCCTGGCCACAGTGGGACGAGATGTGGAATGGGTGAGAACACGGGCTCTGAGCCACGGCCATGGGAGGTCTCTATTATGTTTTAGTGTCGGGGTTCAGCTCATGTTCCCTGAGTGCACCTAGAGTTTGATTGGCCCAGGAAAAGTCCCAAGAAAGCTGGCCCACTTCCTACACAGGCGGGGTGCAGAGAGACACATGGAGAAATAACCACAAACCAGAGAGATAAATGCAGAACATTTTTAGATGCCTTTAATTGTGATCATCCCCATGAGGAGGCCAGGTGGGGTACTCCCAGCTGACCCTGGCCAATGTGAGACATGGTGTGGAATGATAAAAACATGGGCTGTTAGAGCTCAGCAGCTCAAAGCACTTGCCTGGTAAATGCGAGATCTTGAGTTTGATTTCCAATACCAAAAAAAAAAAAAAAAAAAAGAATATGGGCTCTGAGCTGTGTGCATGGGTTACTCTACATTAGATAGATGAAGAAATGAGGCTCAGATAGGTCAAGTGAGTTGCTGAAGGTCACACAGCAGTCAAGAACAGAGCTGGGTCTCAATCCCAGTGCCTTCTCTATGCCAGTGATACCAGGTGTGTCAAGAAGCGTTCTGGGAGATCAACTTCCCGAACTCCCTCCGTACTCAGCCTGGCTTGGGACCTGAGAGTCCACCTGAGCTCCTTGCTCCTTTGGCTGAAGGTGTGCGTGCTCCTGAGTGTAGACTGAATGACCACCTGTTTCATAAAGCCTGGTCTCAGTGTATGAGAACTGACTCAAGGGCCAGCTGGAACATACCTGGCTTCTCTTAAAAACTACTAACATGTGTAAAAACAAGCCAGGTGACAGTAGCTAGCACAAAACACTTAGGTTACCAATTCAATGACTTTGTCCTATAGGGTTTGGGGTGCCTTGCGAGGTGACTTGATGACACAGTGGCCCCCAGAGACAATGTTCCTCTCCTCCTCGCCTGAGGCCTGGTCCCAAACCCCACATGGCAGGATGTGCGCCACAGGGCCTGTCCTCCGGAAGCCCTTGTTTGTTCCCTGCGGAAAACGGCAGTTCAGGCATCTTCTGGGAAGGGACTAACCTCACCAGGGCCAGGGGACTTCCTGGTCTTTTGAGGAAAGGCTAGGCCAGAGCTTCTTGGCTTGGATAGGAGGAACAGGATGTGGCATGGGGTTCTTGCAGGCTGGTCCTGCTCTGGCAACCTCTTCCCTCTGGGACTCCCCAGCACCTTCTGTTTCCTGCTCTACTGGTATGACACAGTGACACTAAGTGCTGTCCCAGCTCTCCGAGGAACGACCCTTCCTTTCTGGAGCTCCAGGGCCTTTTGGGCTTGCAAAGGTGCCACTCAGCGACCTCTCCATGTGCCCTAATGATGGCAAAAGTTTCTGCTCGAGGAAGGAGCTGCCAAGTTCCCCAGCTATTGTCCTTGTGACATCAAACGAAGGCCTTGGGCCTCCTCAGTTCCTTAAAGGGACTAATTTTGGGTGGAATGTAGCTGCTAACTATGTCACCACCTATTACAAGGCCTACAGTTCCCACATCGGAGTGGGGATTGGTGATCTCTTTCTGTCAGGGGCCTTTTATGAGCCACCCGCCTATCCCCAGATGCTCCTGGTTGCTTTCATGAGTCAGACCCTTGCTCTGGACTCTGAGGAAGAAAAGAAGCAGGTCTAAAAGGCCCTCGGAGTGGGCATGGGAGGCTTTGGAAGGGACCTGGCTCAGAAGACGAAGACTTCTCCTCAATCTTTTAAACTGGAAGGGCCGTCCCACTGCCAAGTACAACCATGACCCTTGCCTCCCAGCTGTTACAATAAAGGCCAGGCCCTTTTGCTAACTCTGGTATGGGCCCTGCCTGCCTGCTATACTGGTCTCACCTTTCCACTTTTATCTTTTCTCTGCTCTGCCAGTCTTCTTGATCTTGACTTTGTGGTGACTCTCTCTACCCCCGGGATTTTGCACATGCCAGCATTCTGTTATGTGTCTTAGTCTGTTTCTTGCTGCTACAGTGGTATATTTGAGACCTGGAAATTTATAAAGGGAAGTTTTTGGAGCTGGGAAATCCAATAGGACAGTGCTAGAGAGGGCCTCGTGTGATTCAGCTCACTCTAGAAAGTGGAAGGGCAAGCACGTGAAAGGCACGAAACAGGAGAGTGCTTTGTAACAGCCCCTTCTCACAGTAGCTAACAGTCTCCAGAGGCTGGGTACTTGCTTTGTGAGAATTAACCCAGACCCTGGAGAAAGCCACTAACCCTCCTTAATGATAATTGTCTCTCAAAGATGCCACCACAGTGGCAGTCATGCTTCAGTATAAGGTTTCTTTGGGTTGGGTTGGGGGCAAACCGCATTCAGTCCATAGCACTGTGCTTCCCTCCTCTGGCTGGGCCACACACCTGGAGAAAACAGAGCCTGTCCCAAGCTGAAACCAAATTCTTCAACAAGGACGCAGACAACCCCATGGAGTGGAGGTGCCTTAGGAGGAGGGATCATGACCTCACTCTGTGAATTAGGACTCCAGCCTTCTTCCCTGTCACCCAGCTCTGGGCCCCGCACTCTGCACAGTGGCTTTGTATCTCCCCCTCCCTTTATTCTGTAAATAAAGTCTAATCTTTCTTTGCAAAAAAGAAAAAGAAAGTAAGAAAGAAAAGAAAAAAGAAAGACCGAGACAGCAGCAAGAGCCCGGTAGTGCTGTGCCTGGGGTCAGGGAGGGGGGAATGCTGGAGCGTAATAAAGTGGGCAGGAATACGCCCCTGGGCGCCTCTCTCCCACATCGATTTGCCTTTCTGAGCTTGCATCTTTCTCTTTTCTTACCAGAAGCCAGACCTCTGTGAGTCCCTTACTTTCCTTGCCCTTCCCCTTGTCAGAACCTCTTCCCCATCCTGTCTCACTTCCTGTCCAGTGCTGGACCCGCTAGCGCGGAGGATGAGTCTCTGCTTTAGCCTTCTGCAGAAAGCTGGTCAGCTGAGGAGATGAGACTTTTAACAGTGGCAGAGCAAAGGGTGGAAAGCACTCAGTGGTTCAGGGGAAGCTAGAGGTGGGATCTGAGAGATGCTACCTGCTGACCACCGGCATTTGGGACACTAGAGGGAACTTGAAATTATCTGAGATGTTTGATTGATGAGTGAAATGTATTACTGTGTCAGTGCGTCAAGGAGCGAAGAGGTGAATGGGTAATGTTTCTGGACCTGAACTGTTGTCCCCTCTGTCTCTAGCACCCTTCGTTGTATGATCACAGGCAAACTCCTACTTACTCCTCAGGATGTGGGCCAAGGGTTCCCTCCTCTATGGCCACTGGAGAGGGGTGGCAGGGTGTGTCTGTTTGTGCTCAACCTGGTTATGGAAACTGCCTTCCCTCAAGGCACCCTCCAGAGCCAAGGAATGAGCTCTGCTTCCAGGCTTAGCCAATCAGGACTTTGGATCTTGTAGAGAATGAAGCACCAGGGCAGGAAACCAGTTGGAATGAGTGGTCCCCAGGTGCCACCTGGTGATACTGCTGGGGCCTGACATCCCACCTGCCTGACCTGTGCCCTGGGATCCGAGCCTGGTGCAGTCTTCTGCCTGCCCAGTCTGCGAGCTCCTCCACATCCCCGCACACTTGCCCTCTTCTCAGTTTTCTCCAGGGCTAGACTCTGTTGTTTGCTCCTGAAAACCCTGATGGACACAGCATCTGTGACTCAGCCCCACAGTGTCTCTCAGAGCCTCAGGCTTGCTACGTTAAGAGCTGTGAGTGGTGGGCATGAGTGGCTGTTGGGTGAATCTGGAAAACATTTGCAGCTGGGAGTGGTGATGCATGTCTATAACCCCAGCATTCTGGGAGGCTGAGGCAGGAGGACTACAAATTCAAGCCCAGCCTGGGCACTTAGTGAGACTCTATCTCAAAAATAAAAATTTTAAAAAGAGCCTAAGTTCCATCCCCAGTCCTAGGGAGGAGGGTTCATTAGCAGTGGATGTATAGGTGATTGGCACAGATTCCCAGGCAACTGCATCTTGATCTAGTCCTGGAAGGGTAAGGGGGAACTGGAAGGCCTTAAGGAGGGGCCACCAGCTAGAGAAGGGGCTTGTCAGCTGTTCAGCAAAGGGGGCAGCACTGGTGGAACAGGGAAGGGGTGCAGCTGAGCATGATGAATTGCAGATAGTTTGGAAGGTACTCAGGGGGCAATCAGGCGGAGCTTTGAATCCTCAGGTGAGCAGTTTGGATTTTTCCTGCAGGCTCTGAGGAGCTCACAGGAGGAGCTAGGAGCCGTCATGGAAGGGCTGAAAAAGGATGAACATCCAGGGCTGGGCTTGCCAGATTCTCCCAGTAACAGGGCAGGATATGCAAGACCTGTCCCTTCCCTGCCCTCTCCCCTTTCTCCCCCATTCATAGAAGTTGTACTGTACCTCCCAGTTACTGGATACAGCATTTTAATGGAAGTGCTCTTTAGGACAGGGAGAAATTGGAAGGCAGTCTCGCACCATGATGGAAGGAGATGCCTGAATTCGGGATGGGAGACCGAGCCTGGTTTCCGGTCTGTGCTCCATTCTGTGTTGAGGGGCTTCTAGCTCAAGCTCTGCAGGAAGTCTACCAGCAGATGCTCTGGGAAGCCAAAGTCCATCTGCAGCAGCAGAAAGCCCTAGGAGGGGTGGGGGCGAGAGGGGCAGGCTGGGCTGGCTCCCAGGGCACTGGGAGGCAACCAGGAAGCCCCTGCATGTGTCCGCAACAACCATGTCATAAGAGAATGCTACCTAGGGCTTCCGCCCACAAGTCCAGGCTGATGGGAACTTTGTACTCACGTCTTGAGTGATGATCTCAGGATTGATGATGTTGAAAAGGTGCAGGCCTTTGCTGTTCATGAAAGCTGTAAGTGCCACCTGGAGCCCTGGGACAGGGGAAAGAGCCTGTCAGCCCTTTTCAGGGAGCAGCCCTGTGCTGTGACACCCTGGGCAATGGGAGATGGTGGAACCAAGGTTCTTGGCCATGTGGTTCACAGCAAGCTGAATCTATCCTGCTTGGAAGGACATTTGGGGAACAGCTGTCACTCCTCATGCCCACCCTGGTGGTCACTCTTTCCCTATGAAGCTTCTCCCAATGCTCTTTGCAACCACACAGAGCAGTCTCTCCAAACACCCAGTTTAATCATCTCTGCAGTTTTAGTGCCTTGCTACAGATGGGAAAATTGAGGCAGGGACAGCCTCATTTTTGCTTCTGCAGGAATGCCAAGGTCACCTGGACATGTAAATATTCAAAATGAAGGCTTGGCCAGCTCAATACACCCAGAGGGGAAGGGAACAAAGCCTTTCAACAATACCTTGTCCAGAGTGCCTCTGGCACAACCTGGTTATGGGGTCTGAAATTCCACCTTAGAACAGCTGTATATGACCAAGTACCCTGCAATATCAGGGTCCAGAGGGAATTCAGGGTTCGTCAGTTCTGACCTTGTCATTCCATAGAAGGAGAAACAGGTTCAGGGCTGGGCTGCACCCAGGTGTTAACCTTCCAGTTTGTTGCCATTAGAGACCTGAGCCCTTAAAGTAGGTTGGGCCTGTGGGAGAGGGTGGCAGAGGAGATAGCGAGGTAAACCAGCATCAGGGATCTGTTCATCCAGCCAAGTCACTGGCATTCATTGCCCCAGCAAGGAGCTGGACCTCAAGGGAGGGACCCAGGACCCATAAATGATGATGTCTGGGGACCCTGCCTGTGAAGGACCTCTGCACAGAGCAATTTGAAAGCGGGGGAAGGTAAAGTCAGAGCTCCATCCCCACCCACTCCCTGATGACACTTACGAGCCATGACCTCAGGAATGCCCACAGCGGCGATCATCGACTGCAGGAAGCTCTGAACGGCCACGGAGCTGCTCTGCCAATCAGAGGCCCACAGTGAGTGACCCACAGGGCAGATGGTACACAGCCTGGGGGAGCATTCCCCCTCATGCCATGAAAAAGCAATGCTGACCTAACCCTCTCCTCCTGCCCCTCCGGACAGTGGCTCTCCTGAAGGGTCCCTCCAGACCCTAAAGAGAATCAGGGTTGTCGTCCTGTTCCCAGATGCCCAAGGAGAGGCCACTTGGCCAGTACTTTCCTCTTCCTTCTTCAAACCACTACGGTCCCATTCCTGTGACACAAAGGCTCTCCCAACAGACAGAAGGGAGAAGTGTCACAAGAGACACGGAGGGAACAACTGATTGGATTTCTTTTGGGCCCACTACCTGATTTCCTTAGGGTCCTCTGCTTTCCTAAGATATGAAGCCTGACCACCTACCTCAGCCTCCTTAGAAGCGTTCCTTGGTGTAACCCTGAAATAGAAGAGGTGAGAATTCGAACCTTTGTTAAGGAACTTTGGGAATGGTTCTCAGTGTTCCTGATCAGTAATCTTATGCTTAGTATTTCATTTTGGGGGACACAACAGTAAAACATAATAAAATTGCATCTCTTCAAATTCTTGTTCCTTGAATTTTTCTAGGTAACAGGTATGAATTTCATGCAAAAATTCAAAAAATTGCAACCTTTGGCAAAGATAGGTTAATTTCAGGCCCTTGAAAAGAGAGGCCTTTTGAAGCTTCTGGACACTGGTCATTACAACCACTGGGCCTTGGGCCAGGTCCCTCCCCCACTGCCTCCTACTCTAGCTGCCAAGATAGGATCTTCTCTGGCTATAGCCAGGCTATGAGTCCTGGAAGGAAGGTGCCACATCTCCCAACCAAGACCAAGCCAGGAACCCGAGAGGCTTGCAGAGCTGACTCTCGCCCCTCTTTGCAACACATACTGGAAATCCAGGAGGCTTAAGAAGAGCTTTTTCTGGGAATAGGAGGCCTGGATGGTAGTGATGACATCCTGGGGAGAGAAACCAGATTCATTGTGAGTCAGGGGTTTCCCTGAAGCAGAGGGCAACTCTCCCTGCCCAGGGCTCTCAAATGCACTGAACAATCTGAGAGGCATGGGGAAGAGAGGATTCGAGGAAATCTTGGGATTTGGCTGAATGATTGATCTGAAAACTGGGAGAAAATGGAAGTGTGGCTCAGTCACAAAACACTTGCCTAAGATGTACCAGGCCCCAGTTCCACTCCCAGCATCACAAAATACATACATACAGGCACAAATGCATGCACGAGTACATATGGAAGGAAATAAGCCTGAAATTTTGGGCTTAGGATCTGAGAATCCATGGCACTTTCTCTCCTAGTTTCTGACTTTCCCATATTGGCAGTTGCTGTGGAGCAGGATTGTGGGCATGGCTCACATCCTCTATCTCCAAAAGGAAGCAATTAGAGGCTTCCTGTGCTGGTCGCTGGATTGATCTGTGTTTTCACATTCTGGAGATCAAATACACTAAATTGCTTCTGCTCTAGGTGTGGCCTTCGGCCAGCAGCTTCAGCACCAGGCAGGAGGAATGAATGGGAAATGCAGAGCCACAGGCCCTGCCCCAGACCTACAAACCGGACTCGGGGATGCCCAGGAATTTGTGTTTTGACAGCGTCCCTTGGTGCCACTGTTCCTATAGCACCAACTATCCTCTGTATGTTGAGTTCAGTTTCATATGCACCTTCCTTGACTACATAATTTTATTTCATAGCATTGGGTACAATTAGAGGTTGCACAGTATTTTGCTTAGCTAGCTAGTTGCTATTTATCTCTGCCCACACTAGAACCTTCAGGAGGTCAGAAATCATATGGGTTGGGTCCAGAGTAAGAACTCAACAGGTGCTGATGAAAATGAATGTCTAAGTGCATCTGCTGAGGGGCAGTGACCTCAGGTGTCAGTGTGATAGGTGACCTTGAACCTCACATTGTGTCCTGTTGGTTCCAGAGCTCTGTCTGTTCAAGTGGAGAGGCGAGCATTCTCTCTAGGGTGCAGTTTAATGCCTCTGCAGTGCAGTGATCTTGCCCTAGCACAGACCTGTCATCTTGCACCCCTGCTGCAGCTTCCACCTCTTCCTTTTGGCCTGGCAGTCTCGGAATGAGGTTTCAACACACCTCCAGCCTGACTTGCAACTTCTTCAGCCCCAAAAAACCACACTAGGATTGCCACATCCCTGGTCCTGTTTATGTCTGCCATCATCCCAGAAACCTGCCCCAGGCTATCTCCCTGCCCTGGGAGATGCAGCCAAAGCTCCTTTCCAAGGTGTCCTGGGGGACATAAGTTCCTAGAGACCATTGACTGACACACACACTCAAGTTCATGAGCAAGAAGGAAAGTCTGCAGGAGCCAGAGCAAGGAGAGGACATTGGAGAAGGCAGGAAGGGGCCTAAATACATGGTGATGCTGCAGTCAGACAAAGATTCTTTGTTTGACCCAACTTTGGTATGATTCTAGAACCTTCTAGGACCACCATGTATTTCCTTGTAAAATCCAGTTTTACTGAGAGCCCTACTACCTTGGTTTACCAAATATCTCCACTCCCAGTGTCTGATCACCTCACATTAGATCAGATCCCTCATCTTCCTCTCAGGGTATGGGTGGGGGATGGACCCTGGCCCATCTTCAGCCAGAATCCTATTGGGTTGGCTCACCTAGAATTTCCACCCACTGCCAGGTTTCCTTTCAATATTTTTCCACCCACTAACCCTGACCTTTTACTTGACTGTGGGCCCCAGTCACCCACACTGCACTCAGAGTGGAACCCAGGGTCTCCCTGCCACCCACTGTGAGCCCCACTACAGCAAGCCTTATCTGTATGGCCAAGGTCCTGAATAAACACTGCTTGTTGGAGATGCAACTGAAGTTCTTTTTATTTTAAAGAGAAAAAAATAACAATAAAACAGAGTTTCAGGACAGGTCAGTAGGAGAGTTATGATAATTAATACATTGTGTATTGTTGTCTTTGTAGTAGAATATAAGATATAGGAATGATATCTTGTCCAACCAATATTAGTACAAACTTTTCTTTTCAATGAACTAAGAGACAGTAGCTGTATAACTATTTTAACTATCTTGTATATAAATATATTTTTCCCTTTTCCCTTTCTTCCTTTCCCCTATCATAGTTTGTCTGTTTTTTTTAACAGTTTTTCCCAATTTACAAAATCTGGTGTACATTTTGGGTCTTACTCTTTTGGTGTCTTTCACTAGGGAGATGATATGATGTTTACATGTACGGGTCTGATTTATTTCACTTATGAGTATGGTCTCTAGTTGCATCCATTTACCTATAAAAGCCTCAGGTTTATCCTTCTTTATGGCTGAGTAGTACTCCATTGTATAAAAAACACATCTTTTTTATCATTCCTCAGTTGATGGGCATTTGAGTTGTTTCCAAGATTTAGTAAGTTGTGCTGCTATAAATATGGGTGCACATATATTGCTATGGTATGATGTTTTTAATTCTTCTGGGAAAATACCCAGAAGGGGTAAAGTTTTTAACAAGTTCTCTGTACTTTTTGAACTTTTAACTAACATACAGTAGGTAAGTAAAATAGGACAAACTTACGAGTTTTTCCAAAAGCTAAATCCGTGTGATCTCCTGGGTCAAACTGTGATGTGGGCAAAGGAGACCAGTGAAAAAACTAGTGAGTCTGGTTGTCTGTGGTTTACCAGTGTGAATCTCCTAGCACTCATGCAGTGTGGCCCAGGAGACGGTGATTATGGGGTAGGCAGGGGAGATGCCTATGGAACCCTCTGTACTATGTAGCTTTTATTCAGATCTGAAATTATTCTAAAATTAAAAGTCAATGAAAAGTAATAATCACCAAGGGAAGTGCATCAGTGTCCCCAGTGGGCAAGGGGATTATCAGGATCTGGAGTTTACCACTATGTGCATAAGTGATTTTTGTATTTAGTTTTTAATGTATTAAGAAATATTGAAGATATATATATATATATATATATATATATATATATGAGAGAGAGTGAAGATTATTAGGAATCATGTTCATCCTTAATTCCTTATTTACAATTACAAAAATCAAAGGAACTCTGTTTCTTCTGTTTGTTGTGTTCTTTGTCATTTTGTTCACTAGGGTTTTTGAGTTTCTTGATAAAGCCTGGCCATTTGAGATGAGAGGCTTTGTGTAGTATTTTCATCTTGCTTTATGTGAATGTTTACATGTGGAGAAATGTCAGTGTGCTTGCTTGTGGGGTCACCCAACCTTATCTGGGGTGATCATCATTATGTCCCTCATGTACACACAATATCCTGATGTTCTAAACTTCAAAGCATCTGAATTTGGAAAGCTGTGGCCTTCATATCTATGGGTGGAGGGTCTTGGACTTGCGTGTCAAACTCGAGTCCCACACTCAGCTTAAGGAATTGTTACTAACCCCATGAACACCTTCTGTGCACTCTCTTGACTGAGTTCTAGGGTCCTGAGGCCCACAAGCCATGTGTAAGATACAACCAGTTGCAGCAGAGGTGATGAGAAGACCTGGAGATATCAGAGGTCCCCAAACTTCTGTCCCAGATGGCCTGTCCGCAGCTGGGTCCTCTGCTCCCAAGCTCCCCTGTACCCACTCACCTCTTCAAAAGTGTGAGCCACTAACCCATCTGGGTGTGGGAAGAGGAATTGCACCATCACGGAAGAACTGACCACGACACCCTTTTTTTGACAGGAGATCCTGGGCCTCGTGAGGCAGTGCACGGTTACTTGGGCCAGGCTGGGAGTGCAGCTGTTGAAAAGCTGTGGGAGACAAGGGGTTCCAGGGCCAGGACCCGGGCCCATCAGAACAGCGGCAGCCACTGCCCTCGGAGACGGGAAGGCTGAAGTTGGTGTGGGCCCTGGGACTGGGGAAACAGGAAGCAGCCCGGGGTAGAGGCTGGGACCAGGCTGAACTCCAAGGCCTGAGCCCTAGGCTGTACCACACCACTAATTCCCAGTGACTTGGCAAACTGGGACTCTTGAGCTCTCTGAACCTCAGTTTTCTTGTCTGTATTATATTGAAGCCACCTCTGCCCTGCCACCCTTGTAGGTCATGGTGAGGACACCTTTTCTTAGCATCCTTTTTTGTGCCTTGCCTTCTTCCTCTGTAAAATGGGGACAGAGTCATACTTAGCACATAGAGTTGCTGAGAGGTTGAACAAGATAATGCAGGTAAAGAGCTGCTCCAGGTAAAGGGCTTGCTACGTGGGACTCCTCCAACAGATGTGGCTGTGCCATCTAACAATGTCCACAGAGACCTCACTAGGCTACAGCCTTGGGCCAGGCAAGGGACACAGCAGAGAACCAAATAGACGTAGTCTGTCTGAAAAGTTCATTATTAGAGAATCCCAGAACTAAAGCAAAATTGCAACCGAGGAATATTTTAAAGGTGAAATAGACCCACCTTTGGTTCAAGAACCCTCAAGGGGGATCTGACCAAATCAGGGAGGTGGGAGAAGCCTTTCCTAATTAGGAAGAATCCAACAGGAAAGGGTGAGGGAAATCCTCTGAGCAGAGGGAACAACCTGGTCCAGGAGATGTGGGAGAAGCAGGCCCAAAACAGGACAAGCAGATGGTGGGCAGGACTGTGGTCAGCAGGGCAGAGTATCAGGTCTGCAGCCTGTGGGGTGGGGCTCAGGGTCTCTCCCTACAGACCATAGGACCAGCAGATGCATTCCGATAAAAAGTTTTATTTAGTACCTAGCTGAGCTCAAAAGAAAGAAATAGCTGGGGATTTAGCTTAGTGGCGTAAGCACTTGCCTGGCAAGTGCAAGATTATGAGTTCAATCCCCAGTACCTAAATAGAGAGAGAGAGAGAGAGAGAGAGAGAGAGAGAGAGAGAGAGAAAGACAATCCCAGGTCCTAAACATGAAAAGCAAAACTGTAAGCAAGACAGCCCAGAGACATAAGAGAAGGGGGTGGCTTCAGACGACACTGTCCTGGGGTTCGATGCTCTCAGATTAAAAGTAATGAGAAACAGAAGTAGAAATGAGACATTTGTCCCTCATGAAAAGGAGTGGGGATGAAGGGTGTAAATGAGAAACCTAAATGGGTCTGTGCAAGACCAAAGTCTGTATTCACGCTGCAGGCAGGTTGCAAGACTTTCCAAGCTAAATAATCAACATAAAAATACAGCCAGACTACCGAACGGTGCAACTTTTGTGTTCCTCTCAGAAATAAATGCAAAAGTGTCTTCTTAGGAAATCTAGGGACTCCAAGGAGCAGTCTCCACAGAAAAGCCAAATGCCACTAAAGGTGAGCTTGAAAAGGAAAAAAAATGACAAATGACACAAGAAAGTCACCCATTCTGATAGCTAACTAGAAAATACAACAAATAACAGGTAAGTACTCTTAAGAATTAGACGTGATGAAATAACTTGGAAGAAAGTACAAAGTAACCATTTTGTTAAAAAGTAAAGATTAAAGAGGTAGAGCCCTAATGAAACCACAGTATGGGGTGGCGAGAGATGAGCTAGATTTGAAAATGAACTAAATAAAATTACTATAAAATAAATGTTATTGGTAGTAAAATGAAAACTTCAGGGAATGAGTGAACAGATAAGATACAGGTGTACAAGGAACAAATGAAAATAGAAATTTGCAGAAAATGTCCAGAATTTAGCACAGAGATACCAAGACATAAAAAAAATGACAGAAGAACTAACTGTAAACATAGAAGATGAACTGACAAGGCCCTAGAAATTCAAAGAGATAAGAATGGAGGAAACAGAAAAAGAGGCAATAGCTGAAGAGATGCAACTGAGAAATTTTAACAGCTGATGGAAGATACCAACTCTTACACTAAACAGTTGTGCTGGGTGCAGAAACACTAGAATGAGAGGTAGACAAGGGCCAGACAGGGCAGGATCCTGGGTACTCTGCAGAGAACTTTGCCTGGCCTTACCCTCTGAGTTTTAATTTGGCACATGGGCATTCAATTTTGCTTCTTGAAAAGGTTGTTCTGGTTGCCACAGGAAACAGTGCAGGGGGTGTCAGGATGCAGGGAGACCCGCTCACCCACTATGAGGGTGCGACTAGATTTCCACAAAAGGTGGTGGTAGCTGGGCCTGAGTGAAGGTAGAGACAGAAATAATGGATGCTAGAACAGTGAGGACAAGAAGCGTGCATGCCTGAGTCACACACTTGGAAGGAGAGAGAGGCACAGCAGGGTCAGGAAGTCAGGGAAGAGTAGATGGAAATTCAGGAGGAAAGCAGACCTCCTACTAGACCAGGAGGAAGCTACAGGGAGGAGCTGGGATGGGAGAGGGCAGGGCTGGGAGCAGGGAGCCCAGGGAAAAGCACAGTTGGGGGCATGCCACTCTCTCCAGGAAGGAGTGTGTATGAGAGGGAGGTAGTGAGAAGAGGCGGCAGGCAGCTGGAGCTTGAGGGTGGTGGGGAAGGCTGACAGTATCGGTGCAGGGAATGGGAGGGAGCTGGCCAGAGGCTCAGAAGACTTCACCCAGAAAGGGCGAGGCGTCTCTGAGCTCAGGCACTGCAGCCTTGTGGTAGAACCTTGCACTGAAGACCAGGATCACAGGCATCGCTGCCTCCAGTCAGAGCAGACAGGGCTGTGACCCCCGAGGAGCTGAGCTGAGACTGGCTTTGGAGTCAGGAGTCAGTCACCTGCCATGAGTATGGCTGGGGCCCGCTGAGCCTAGCGGTGATACCACAGTCTTTGGGGCCATCGCAGCTGCATAGCCCAGCCTTGCCATTTCCTAAATTCCCTGAGTGTGACACAGGATTCTAACAGTGTCTCCCTGGCACAGTGGTTGTAAGCACAGAGGGAACTGATGCTCAGCAAGCGCTGAGCTCAGAGCCCAAAAAGAACAAGGCCTTAGCAATTGTGATGTCGCTGCTGTTGGTATCGCTGTGTGTGTGTGGGGGGGGGTGTTCTGGAAGCGAGGGCAGGATTAGGGTGCACAAGATAAACCCTGACCAGCAGGGCAGTTACCTCTGAGAAGCTTTCCTGATTGATGGTGAAGCCCCAGGTTTCCAGTGCTTCCTAAAAGACACCAGAGGGTGAGCAGGTCATTTTCAGGCCACCACAGCGACACAGTGCAGCCCCTCAACACAAGCCCAACCCCCTAGACAAAAGCTGAGGTGTGAGGTAGAGAACCTCTGTGATCTTGCTTGAAGCCTGGCTTTTACTCCCCACTCTCCCGTGTGGCTTGGGCCATGTGGCCACCAGGTCATGTGGCCTTGGGCCATGTGGCCACCAGGTCGTGTGGCCTTGGGCCATGTGGCCACCAAGTTATGTGGCCTGTGGGACACACAATGGGAGATATGAAGAGCGTAGGCTTTGGAGCCTCCACTTCTAAGCTGTGTGATCTTGAGCAAAGTTACCTACCCTCTCTGAGGTTGGCTGTGGTTTGATTTGTTTGAAAAATGGAAGTGCAATAGTACCTATCCCAATCTGTGAGTACAGCAAAGATAAATGCAGCACAAATATTGATAACAACTTGAATTTACTTCACAGTTACTACATACCAAGCTGTATTTTATGGTTATATCTGCCTATCTATCTGTTAGTTGATTGGCTATATCTCTCACCAAACACACGGGGGACCCTCAGTAGATGCTGGGCTTTAATACAATGGTTGCAGCATGGCCAGTCCATGGTGCCTGTGCTTGCCACCCAGTTTCCTCCATGCTCCCCACAGGTGTTACACACACACCACATGCACACATGCATGTCCCAGCAGCCCTGCCTCTCACCTTGAACTTGTCCCCCGTCAGGCTGAGTGTGAGGCGGCCATCCTGGAAGGCGGCCTTGGCCAAGGAGTCCAGAACTTGCTCAGAGAACCAGAAGTAGAGCATGCGGGATTCCCCCAGCAGCGATGGTGAGAAGGTGGGCAGGACGAGGTCCTCCGAGATGTTTTTGTAGATGAAATGACCCTGCAAAAAGCTGGGACACTGGCTGCCCTTCCCTGTGTGTCCCTGATAGGCTCAGGGGCCAGCTTCAGGGGGACCACCAGGACCCTTGGGAAGCAGCTGACTCAGAAGACAGATTGGAAACTGAGGCAGACCCGCACTCAGTTTCCACCCAGCCGGACCTTCACTCAGTCAGCAGACAGGTGCCCAGCACCAGCCGAGGGATGTGAACCAGAAAGATGTGCGCCCTCACCCCGCCATCCATTGGCATTCCAGCAGACATGGCAGGCAGAGCAGCTGGTGACGGAGGACCTCCCTACTCCCAGTTGATCCTGTTGACTGCCAGCCCTGCACCTTTACTCCCAGGCAGCCAAAGTCAAGAAGGTGAACCACAGCCCAGATCTCTCCCTTCCAACATTAAGGAGCCCGAGGCTTATGAAGGAGCTTCATGAGCACCCACAAACCTCTGACAAGTTCTTTTTCTTCAATTTTCTGAACACAGGCTCCTTCACGGAGGTAGATGGCTGTCCCTAGAATCTGTTCTCCTCTCTCAGAGTTCTGTAACCCCCAGTTCTTAGCTGGGCTCATTGAGTGCCTGGAATAAATTCCTCAGCATTCCCTGCAGCTAGGTGTGATCGTGTGACCCAGCTCAGACTATGGGATGTGAGCAGAGTGGGCAGTTGGCTTAGCCCCTCAATGCACAGAGCCTGTGTACCTGACACCCTGGAGCCACCAAACCCACCCGGCACCACATACAGTGGTCTGGGTCAGGCTGTTTTCAAGGGAAACAAACATCTACGGGTTTAAGGTGCTGTTCTTGTGGGCCTCTATGTTTTAAGTAACAGAGGATCCACAGCTTTCATCAGGTCCCCCAAAGGGGCCATTGCTATGGAGGCTGGTGGAAGTCAAACGAGCCTTCTGGAATAGAAATGGTGCCTGACTGGGGTCCTCAGAGAGGGTCAGGAAATGCCCTGCAGAGGTGTGGCAACAGGCATTTGGCTTCCATGGAGTCAAAGCTGGGGGCAGGTGGCCAGGGCACAGGTGAGGACCTAGCCTGAGAAGTACCTGGGGAGGTGAGCCCCTGCCCCATCTTCCCACCATACCCACCTTGTGATGGGACTCCAGGTAGGTGGCTGTGACAACAGGCCATCTTGTCAGGGAGATGTCCACCCCAATGTCTCCACTGGACAGGATGTTAGCTGTGGGAGGGGAGGACTGAGGTGGAGCCTCCCCTCCACACGGTGCCCCAGCCTGCAGCCCTAAGGCCCTCTTTTGTAAGATGGGCCCTATAGTGTGGGATGCACGTTTCCATTATCTTTTCCTCAGCTTCTGTCTGGCGGGGTGGCTCCACCATTCCAGGCTCCTGCTGGAAGACTGGTTCAGAATCAGAGCCAGAGTAGTCCTAGCTCCCTCACCAAGCATCTGTGTCCTCACTTCCAGTGACAGTGTCTACCCCAGGGCCACATGTTTGTGTGATCTCTTGTGTAAAAGTGAGTGAGCAAGTGACCAACAATAGGAGCAAATCTGATGATCAGTTCTCTCAGACTTCACTCATTAGTTGATCCTGAATTCTATAATCTAGAACTGGAGTCATGAAACATTTTCTAGAAAGGACCAGGCAGTTAAGTACTTCAGACTCAGAGGGCCCCCTGTCTATGACTCAGCTCTACTTTTGCTGTTTAAAAGCAGCTGTACACAGGGCTTTCTAAGGAGTGGGAGTGGCTGTGTTCCAATAAAACTTTATTTCCAAAAGCAGGCAGTAACACCATGTAGCGTTGGTGCAGACCAGCGTGAGGGCTGGAGAGCAGCGTGGGAGTGTAGGGCCCTGCTCCTGCCTCCTCCCACAAGCCTACAACAGAGTCACATTCTTGGGGAAACCCTGTGGGTCCTCCAGTCCCGCTGAGCTCCTGGGCCATATAGGCCAGGCCAGAGAGCCCTGGCCCTCCTTCACTGAGGGTGAGCCACCTTCCTGTTGACCTTAAGAGACCATAAGAGATCTGTTGAAGTGGGAGTAGAGTGCTTGATACTCAAGAAAATGAGTTGTCCTTGTCCCCTCCTGTGCTGCTCCTCTGCTCAGGACAGGAGCCTAGAGGCCTGGGGTCTCCCCTCCCATTGCCCTGTCAGCCTGGTCTCCCGACCCACGTCCCGACCCTGTGTTCACTGAGCACCTACTATATGCTGAAGAACCAAGACCAAATACCTGCTTTCAGCTTAGCAAGAGAAGTTTCTGTGCAGTCCAGCTGCTACTTGGGAATGGTTAGAGGGCCTGGATTCAGATTCCTCCCCTCTATTTCTGGGCTGAGGGTTCCTCTCAGCCTCATAAATGCATTTTCTCAGAAGTTAAATGGAAGGAGTTAAATAGCAGGAGCTTTTTCCCTGGCTCGTCACAAGGATGCTGTGTTGGGTGAATACAGTGTTTGGTACGCGGTAGTTCTGTTGGGCAGCACAGCACAGCCCACTTCTTCCAGGACCTTCTCTTGTCTTCTGTACCTCCCAAGGGATATCCCATTGGACAGATGGCAGCACTGAGTCCTGAACCATCCCTTCGCCACCACACAACCTTGGGAAACCCCCCCCCACAGCCTTGGGGAGCTCCCCCTGAGCCCCAGCCCTAATAGAAAGGTGAGGGTGGGCTGGGGATCTCTCCTTCTCTGTGATGCTTTCTCCATCTTACTCCCACTGACGTTTGTGGTGCAATGGAGATTGGGATGCTGGTTACTCTAGTTCTTTTAAAGGGCCTGGTGATGGCCTAGGTATTGTCTTATGCTTCTAGTGTACATTTTTTCCAACTCCATTCTCACAGGTACCCTGTGGGCAGGTGCTATTATCACCCTATTTTTACCTGTAAAGAAACTGAGGTCCAGAGAAGTTAAGTGACTTGTTCCTGTCACACAACTTCCAAGGAGAAGTGACTTGCCACTGCCTGACCATAATTAGTCACCAAGTGGCAGAGCCACACAGGGCCCACAGGGGCAGTGACTGTCCCACGAGCCCCTGGTGATGTGGGTGACTTCCTGCTCCCATGGCTAGCCTCAGAGATACACAGACTGAACTCACCGGCCCTTGACTGGACAAAGTCAGCCATGATGTTGGAGATGACGCTGATCTCTTTGCAGACCTGAAGAGGACAGAGCAGGCACCTCACCAGGCAGGAAAGGAGCCAGAGAAGAGGCATCCAGAGGTGGCATCCTCTGGATCCTGGATGACAGGTGGGTGGGTCCCTGGCCATGCTCACCTGTCCCTGCAGGACCAGCTTCAGGGTGAAGGAAATGAAGCTGGTGAACAGCCGCTTGATCCATCCAGGGCTGAAGTGAACAAGCACAGAGTGAGTGTCCTGCCCAGCCTGGGCATCCCCTGAGTGCCTACCATGTGCTGGGGACTATTCAGGTCTCCGCCAGCTTCAGAATCCAGCAAGCTCAGGAGATGGGAATTATCATTCTTGGCTCACAGCTGCCAACACTGAGTCTCACTGAAAGCCCTGGACCTGCATATTAACCACATCACCTCTCCTCCCCAGGCTTTCCCGGGACAGCCCAGTTCCTGCAATATTCACATGTGCTGTGCGCGTGGATTTATGCAAAGTCCGGGTTCATAGATTTGCCTGACTGCTCTAGGGGACAGAAAGAGGCCTCCAGCATCCCAAGTTTGCCATTGCTGATATGACCGAGGCCTCTCTTGAGCCTCGATTTCTTCCTCTGAGGAGTCCACAGCTATGATAGAGGGACTTCCTGACACCAAAAGTCTCACCCTGGGAAGCAGGAGCTTAGGTCGTGAGATAGAAGAGCTGGGGTTCAAATCCCACTTGCACTTCCAGGAGCAAGCTGAGTATCTCAGCGAGATGCTTAGCTATGAATAGATAGGAATTTTTCCCCCTTCCTAATCTGAGCATCTCCGTTTACACCTAAGTGGAAAATGGGAGTATTAACAATCTGCCTCCTAGCACTGGGTTGTGTGAAGATTAAATCAATTAGTTCATGCAAAGACCTTAAAATAGTGCACATGTTCAGAAACTCTGACTTATTATTTTCTTCCCAGTCGCTGAGTATGTGTTGATGAAGATCCCTGGAGGGCCTGGCCCCTGCAGCTGTGGCTTCCTTGAGTAAGGGTGACACTGGAGGGGCTATGGGCACACTGACTTACTTCCGTTCTCCATGAAGATGCAGGAGCAGCTTGTGGAAGGACAGGTAACATCCAGGGGCATTTGTTTGCACCCTGCCAGAGTCGCAGACTGCAGAGAGACCCCAACACCATATCAGGGCAGCCTGGGCCACCAGGCAGGACCCCTGGGGTGCCCTGGCCTTACAAGGGCATGGCCAGCTCTGGGCTCCCACCCTGCAAACTTCCCAGACTGAGCCTTATTTAGTGACCTCAAAACACCCTGTCCATGGGGCTTCCCTCCCTGCAGAGGCCAAATTCTAGGGCCTGGCCTCCCCACCTCTCTAGAAGGAGCTACACCTACTCAGCTGTGAGTTGATCTGGAGGTCAATAGCAGAGTCAATCTCGAAGTCAACAGACTGATCAATGCTCAACCTGCAAAGATCCAAGGACCCAGGAACCACATTCTGCCCCACAGCCCAGAGGGCCAGCGGGTGGCAGGTCATCAGAGGGTAATGCTTACCCCCAGGCACTTGTGTAACCATAGTTTAAGGTCCCCTTGAAGGTTGCAGAGGTGTTTTGAATGGAGATGTCAATGGTCTTGGCTTCAGTCAGCTCTACCTGGCTGCCGGTAATGGACAGGTGGCTGATCTGGATACTGGGAAAACAAATAGAAACTGAGAAGGGCATCTCTGGGCTCTATCACCTGCCCCCAGAAAAGCCATCTCATCCTCCTGGACCTGAGCACACATAGGGAATTACCCCTACTCACATGGGTCCTCCAGGACCCTCCATCAGTGAGGGCATGATAGAATAATGACCTCCTAAAATATCCACACCCCATTCCACAATGGGCACACTGGCTGACATGAAAGAGAGGACTTTGCCAGGTGGTTTGTTAAAGAACTTGAGCCAGGCAGGGTGCTGATGCCGGTCCCCTGGGTGGACACAAGCATGCTAGAAAGCAGGAGAGAGATGCAGGCGACCTGGGTGCAGCCTGGCTGGCATTGGAGGCCAAGGCTGTGGGCGCTGCCAGAGGATAGAGGAAAAGGAAACAAACCTCTCTGTGTTGGCTCATGTTTGCCAAGCAAGCACTTATGCCACTGATCTAAATCCACAGCCTCACCTATGTTGGCTTTTGACCTTTTAAACTGTGTGTTGTTCAAAGTCACTAAGCTGTGGGAATTTGTTATGGTGGCAGAGGAAGTGAATACAGAGGGCTTTCTGTAGGAGGTGATGGCGGGTAGGAGTTCAGAGGAGAGTGAGTGGCTTGGCTTGGAAGGGGGCCTTAGCATCCCTGAGAGGATGCACATATTTCTTGCTTTAATCCCCACCGCCGCCTGAGCCATCACTGTTGTTACTACTCTACCCAGTGGGCAGAGATGGTAGTGACTCAGAGAGATTCTGTGGCTTCCAAAGGCCTCTGAATCACTGGGATTCGATCCTGGGTCTGCCCCTCCCCCAATTTTGTATTATAAACCCCTATGATGTATTGTGACCAGCAGTAAGAATCTAAGTGTTTCAACCTACGTGTGGGAGTGTGGGCCTATGATTCCAGCACTTAGGAGGCCAAGGCAGAAGGATTTCCAAGAGTTCAAGGCCAGCCTAGGTTACATAGTGAGTTCAAGGACTAAAAGGGAGGTCCTGTCTCAATAAAATAAAATGAAATCATAAGAATCCGAGTCTTCTGTTTTCCCCTCTTTATTCTATTCCATTTTATTCTTTTGAAAGAAAATAAGGGCTAGGGATTTAGCTCAGCGGCATAAGCGCCTGCCTTGGAAGCAGGTAGTCATGAGTTCGATCCCTGGTACCGATAAAAACGAAAAAGACCCCCCAAAAAAGAAAATAATATAAAGAATGCTTATATCCAGCTTCAACCCATGTGAATCAAATGCTGTCACATGTTACTTGCCCATCTGTTTTGGAGTACCGGCAGCCTGGTCTTAGGAAGTATTGCTGGTGTATAGGCGTAGTATCTCTGTTAACAACTCCAAGGCACTTTTGCTATCCCTGACCTCTTGGGACATAGGTTCAGACTGTTATTCTCATTTTACAGAATGAGAAACTATCTCAGGTCACGCTGAGCTCTCCGTGCCACCCCTTGTCCCTCACTGGTAGTAGGCAAAGTGGTATTCCAGCGCTGTGGTACCCCCTAGTGGCCCCAGGACACACACAGGCTCTTGTAGTACTAGGACCAAGGTATCTTAGGAAAGCCATCCACCTCTATATAGCTCATTTTGGGGATGAGGAAGGAGGAGCTTTGTTTTAGGCAAAGGTAAGGAACCTAAATGGTGTCTGCCCCACCCTTGGGGCCTCAGACACATATATTGATAGGAGCCCAGGCTCTATGGCTGCCAGAGGTGCAGGAAGGTGGCTGTGCTCCAGGTGCCCCGCTCTGTGTGCTGCTCTGCCTGATTGTCTAGGTGGCCTCTGTGCAGTTTAACCTCTCTGGGATCCTGTTTCTTGATTTGATAAACATGATCAAGATAAAATATTGCCTGGAAAGGCACCTGGCTGTTATGGTCAGTCAGGTCAGGAGACTCTCAGGTCAGCAGATCTCTACACCCTGCCTTCCATTTTCCCAGACCTCTCTTCACAGGGCTGTGGCCAGGGATCTTTTTGAAGCATACTTCTTATTGGGCTATTGGAAAGACAGATGGGGAACCCTGAGTTCTCCCCGCTGTCCTTCCTCTGTAGGCGAGTCCCGAATTATTCCCCGCCTGTCATAGCCCTTGACTTGTCCTTCCCCACACCCCCAAGGCTGACTTACTTGTGCAGACCATACTTGACCTGGCCAAGCAGCATCATGGTCTTCTCGCCCTTGATGTCGGGGTAGCTGGCCCGCTGAAACACTGTCTGGATCACCTTGGCGGTCTCCTGATTCACTGCAAGGGAAGGCGTGGCTGAGGCACTGAGGCCAGTCCAAGCCCCCAGTCCAGCTCTGGCAAGGCTCAGCTTGTCTAGGGTGAGGTTACCACAGGCCTCAAAGCTGTGGGATCAGACTGGGCTTCACTCTGGTTGCAGGCTAAATGGCAATTTTCAGGGGACACAGAGAGCCCTGTCCCTGACGCCAGTTGGAGATCCTGCTCACACCTCTATTTCTGTATCCTGATAATCAGGAACCACATGATCCTGATCAAAGTGGCAGCCCCTAACCCAGCTGCACACCTCCCCCTGCCTCATACAGACTGTGCTGTGTCCTCCACTACAACTGAGTCTGTGGCCCTGAGTCTCACACTTGAGGCTATCCTATGTGAGACGTTATAGCATTTAGCCTCCCTATGGCTTTGTTGTACTGAATAAGAGGTTAAAGTCCAAACAGAGTTAAGAGATGGCCCAGGTCACAGAGCACAGTCTCCCTATTCTGGGTTTATGCTGATTCCTGACTCTGGGCTCCCTTCTGAACTCCAGATCGACTCTGGATCCCAGGCAAACACAAGTCACCACACTGGGTGGTCTGCAGCCCAGCAAGGGCCTTCTTACCAAAGAGCTTGACTTTGAGGGTGAATTTAGAGAATAGGCAGGGGAGTCAGGCTCAGCCTCTCTCATGGCTAGGGTGATTCTCATCTGGGCTAAGATATGGTGGCCCTGCCCCAGAACTAGCTTCTGAGCAGGTGGTGCCCTTGAGAAGAGCCCCCGCTGGATGGACAAAGCCCGGATGGAGAGATGGGCACTGTACTTACACACCAGGAGGGCAGGCTTGGTGATACGGCACACAATGCCCGCCATGGACAGGGGGCCTGTGGAACAGGCGTGGGCGCTGCCCAGCAGGGCCAGGCTCAGGAGGGCAGCAGCAAGCATGGTTCTTAGGCAGCAGCAGGCAAGTGGTGCTGGCTGGGCAGCCAGGCTCAGTGTTCATTCGTTCAGCCCCCACGGGACATGAGGCACTTCTGGACAGTAGTCTTTCTGGCCCCAGGGATTTGCTTCCTTCCTGCCTGGCCCTTCCTGCCTCCTTTTGGGTTCAGAGTTGGGCACTGGACCAGAGTATGTGGGTGTGCACACACGCTCACACACACGTGCCCACACACGCACTTCCCTTTGCCCACCCACACAGTGTTTACCACCCCGCCTATTTGGACAGCAGCGCAATATTATCTGGATTATCTCTAACAAGCATCCTTGAATTTATTCTCTTCTTCTTTTTACTTAAATGAGTGTGTCTAAGAATAAACTTTATCTGTCACATGTCATAAATAAATAGAAGCCAAATACAATGGCCTTGAAATAAAGACCTTCAGTTCTTGCCAGATGCTCTTGTAGGACAATGACCTCAGCCTGTGGGTACCTGTCAGTTACAGCCCAACAGAAATGGAAAGCCCCATGGGGTAGAGACGCAGAGCCAACCTTTCTCTTGCTGTCCTTTGAACAACCAGAAGTCAGTAGTGCTTTCCCTGGCTTTCTATGGTATACAAGCTACATCTGTGACACCATCCTGCTTCCCCCAGCAGCACGTGGCTCATTCCTCGGGATGCTTCCTTTAGAGGATGTTGTATTTAGCCTTCTCACGCCCTTATTGTCTTGAGCAAGAGGCTGATACTCAGAGAGGATAGGGGTCTGGGCAAGGTCACACAGCACTCAGGGACAGAGCAACTTCAACCTGGGCTCTAATTTTGGCCCCTTTCTGGGCATTCAGTGCCTGGGACATTCTGCTGCACTCTCCCATCTCTTGCCCTCCTTGGGGTTCCCAAACTTTTCTCTACTGCCTGACTCCGAGGAAGAATGGTCTGAGGGACTCTCCCATCATGCACCTCAGGCCCCAGTGCCACCTCCCCTCCAGGTGTATCTGTTACCAAAGTTTCTCTGAATCAGAATTTTCTCAGTATTTGGACCACTCAGGTCACATGAGTTCCTGAGTCCTTGGTTTCCAGAAAGGAGAGAGCAACATGGAGGGAACAGCTGCACAGCCAGGCTTGGACCATCATGGCAGGCCAAGGACAACCGAGGACCGGGGCAGGATTCCCAGAGGCAGGTGAACACCAGAGGGCGGTGGCAGGTGCAGTGCAGAAGGTCTGGTTGCCTGGGGACACAGTACAGTGCTGAATGCTCCGTTAAGCCCACCCTCGTGTGCTTGATGGTGACAGAAACTGAAAGTGACAACCACGGCTCTCGGCGCCCTTTGTGGGGAGCCCTGCCTGGCGGTTTTTATCATTCTGAGTTCTCAGTTGTGCCAATTCCTTGATATGCGGTGCAGTTCATCCTGGGTGAGCTCTCCTGCTGCTTGAGTTTTTGTGTTATTCATACTGTTTTTAAAACTACGAAACAAGGGCCATACATTCAAGATGTAGAAAAAAGGAAATCAATTGCCTGTGCTCCTCCCTTTGTAAAATCATCTGATGTGTGGGGTCTGTGGTAGGCAAAGCCTTTGGCTCCTCTGTGCATTCATTCAATTAGCAGACATTGGATCTGAGTCCCCCCTGGATGCTGGACAGGGACCTAGAAGTGGAAACAAGACAGCCCTCTTTCCCTCAGGCTATATTCTAGTAGGAGCACAGATGTGAGTGTAGTGTTTCCCCCGTATCATCTCTACCTCCTGGAACCATGAAGTCACAGGAATATTTTCTGGGTAACAATCCACACTGGTTATTGAGTTTTTACTCTAGGCCTGGCAGCTGTGTACATCCAGAGCCAGGACCATGGCTGGGGTGAGTCCTCACACAACAGGCTCTTGGTATATAGTGGGTGCACAATAAACGCCTGTTGAGTGGAGTGTGAGATGCCCACAGAACGCAGGAGCCCACAAAAGAGGGTCTCAAGGGAGGGCCAAGGAACTGGTGGGCAAGAATTAGCTTGCTTGGGGGTCACCTCCAGTCCCATATTTATTCCCAGGCAGGGCCCAGGCTTCCCAGAAGCATGCACAGAGCAAGGCTGAGCCCCACAATTTCCCAAAGCTCAGAGAGGCTGGCCAACTTGCCCTGAGCATCCAGCTCTTGGGGTTTGTACCCACAGTGATGGCAGGTGTTCCCCTTTGCTGAGAGTAGGTATTCATTGGCTAGAGGCTGGCTGGCTTCCAGGGCCCCCATTCACAGAGTGGGCAGGGAGCCACCACTATTCTAAGACTATGGGGACAACCTGGTGGCTGTTGTCCTCTGGGGTGTGTTTATATTTCACTCCTAGGGTTGCAGAGGTCAATGACCGAGGAGCCTGGCTGGTTCCCTACTGTGTAATGGCCAGCTATGAGACCCATGGGACCACACATTACTAACAAAATAAAACAGATGAAAGCAACCTCAACTTCAGATGGGACCATTTCTTTGAATTTAGGACTCTGATTCTTACACTCTTAAAATTAATAATCATAAAAATATCAACTATATGTTCCACTGTATGTACTTCTTTAGGCATGATCTCATTTAATGCTTTTTGTTTTTTAATCCATTTTGCATTATGGTAAAATTAAATTGAGCCCTTCAAATTTACCATGTTAGCCATTTTAAAGCATGCAGTTCAGTGGCACTTAGCACACTTGTAGTGGACAACCATTGATCTAATTGCAAAACATTTTCCCAAGTCCAAAAGGAAACCTTACAACCAATAAGAAGGCACTCTCCATCCAGCTGGTTTCTTTCCTGCCTTACTGAATCTTTTACCCAGTCCCAGATTCCTCAGTCGGCTCTGCTTTGTGGATTACATAGTGAGGCAGGAGATGCTAAACAACAGGCTAAAGGTCACACAGAGATGAAAAACTTTTATTAAAAGCAGCTGAGACCTAACCCCCTGATTCTCTTGGGAAAAGTCCATTCTACGAGCTAAAGGATGGTTGTGATGGTTTCTCCCAGAAATCTGGAGTCAGTCTCTGGAGGGACAGCCCTGTGGAGGCCTTCCTGTTGTTATGTGCAGAGGAAGACAGCTCACAATGCCATGTCATTCTGATATAGGGGCAATATAAAGATCTCCAACTAATATGACAGAAATATTGGCTAGATGTTTGACATGCTGAGTTTGTATTACTCAAAATCAAAAAATGAATTCTAAGGAACAAAAAAGGTTAAGAGTAGGAAATATTAGCTGGACGTGGTGGTGCACTTCTATATCCCAGCACTCAGGAGGCTGAGGCAGGAGGATCATTGTAAGTTGAGACCAGCCTGGGCTATAAAATGAGACCAAGACCAGTCTGAACAGCACAGCAAGCCCCCGTCTCAAAAAGACAAAAAAAAGGGGGGGGGGAGTAGAAATATTTTTGAGGGAAAAATCTCTTCTGCATAAGAGAGACAAAAGAGGGCTCAGAAGTGGGTTGCCACTTCTCAAAGGGGGTTTTATAGAGCAAAATCACAAGGAAGTACAAAATCAAGAGGTGGCTGTAGGGCTGGAAAAAACTATGATCAATCCATAAAATTATAAGTATAGATAATGTTCTAATGGGGAAACAGGTTACATCATAAGGTGGGTACAAGGTGGGACAAAACTATGATCAACCTATGAGATTACAAATATAGTTACTTAAGTAATATTGATCTACTGGGGAAGTAAGCCACATAGGAAATATACATGGAAAAACAAGAACCTTTCCTGGAAGGAATGGTCAAAGAAAAAGGGTCTTTACTGAAAGGAATAGATTAAGGTCTTGGTCCTCCCACCAGGGTGATTGATGCCTATTTATAATATCAATCATTAATATCCCAGGGGAAATAGGTACACTCTCTTCATCTTTGTCTTGATATTTCATCTTCAACAAACGTGCCTCCACCCACAGTTGTAATGTGTTCTCATCTAATGTGTACTGGGTCCCTCAAGGAGATAGCCATGACTAACTGCCTGTAATATTTCTACTTAACTTAGCTGTCTATAATGTTCCCCTCTCTGAAGAGGTAACCCTAATAAGGGAGGGAGGGATGATGACCATTCTGGCCACTTAAATCTGAAGGGAGTCATTGTTGTGATCATCAGATAGAGATAGTGTCCAGAGGGTCTATTTAAAGGCTCTCAGTAGACATCAGGTATTCTCATCATTTCAGAATCCAACATGGCATTAATTTGTCATTTAGTGTCTTGGAGAGCCATCTAGACATTAGCAGAAGGATCAGTGTTATGGTTTGTGTTGCGATGTCCCCCCACAGCTTCATGCAGACATGTGGATAAGTTTTCATAGGTGGCTGAATTTAGAGTTTGTGATTAATTCATGGTCCAATGCTGGGATTATGGGCATGAGTGCTATGTAGGGTGAGTAGCCTACATAAAATATAAGAGATAGAAAAAGTCTTCTCTTGTGCACTACTTCCTTTTTGTTGTTATTGCTTCTGCTGTCTTCTGCTGCCATGAACTGTTGACCTCTGCAGTGTGCCACTCTGCCATGGAGCCAGCTGAATATAGACTGAAACCTCCACAAAGTGTGAGCTATATAAAGCTTCTCTTCTTTAATTTTGGGTATCAGCTATTTTGTTTCAGCAATGAGAGAAAAGTAACCAAGACAATCAGGAATGTACATTCAGCTTTTACAATTATACAACTACCCTCATGTGCTACTGTTAGAATATCTAATGCCATCCAATTTTGGAGGATGGCTTGCTTCATTAATTTACTTTTTAATTCAGGACAGAGAGAGAGAGAGAGAGAGAGAGAGAGAAAGACAGCAATCACTATGTTAAGGCCTGTTGATATAGTTAGTCAAGGCCTTTATGTTTTTCATTCTCTAGCCTTAGGGAAGAGATAAAGATAGAAACCAAATGATTACACCATTGAAACACACTTCTACACCATTGATGTTGTAGTAGATAGGGTAAGTGCAGGCTTACCAATACTTTTGACACTCATGCATTGTAACCATGCAAATTCCAGTTTGCATCTCCCTACCCATGGGGCGGGGTAGTCAGAGCCACAAATTGGTTCCACAGGACCAATGAGTGCCACTGGGGGCTTCCAACCTAAATCCAGGATGATTAAGCCAGTCCATTGCAAACCAGTTTTTGGCCTGTAAAGATACGATGTGTATACTTTGTTTGGGGATGTCCATCTCAAGCACTTAGTAGAGTTAGGC